ACATGGCGAATAAAACCCTTTCTGATTCTGATTCTAACGTCACCAAGACGCTTGTGCCAGGCTACGTGCACCTTGAGGCCATATGAAGTGTCCAACGCCCACTGGCAGGATGTGACGGGGCAGACCCAGGTGCCACGGGTCGACTTACTGAGATGACTGAGATGACTGGCTGATGCACCACCTGTGCCCTCTACTGTGCCAACTTGCTGTGCTTTAGCTACCGGGCGCTCCGCTCGTTGTTGTGAGCATCGCTCCTCCGCCCTCCGTTGTTGTTGGAGGGCGACTGCCTCCAACTGCCCAGTAGCGTCCTTCACGAGCCTCCTCCACAGAGGCCGATCTTGACACCGCTGGTACCGGTCATCAGAAAGTCCACTCAGCTCCACGTCCTCCTGTACCACATCACTCCATCTCTTCTCTAGCCCGTGCCGCGCACGTTTAGCCCCCTCGATCCGGCCGAACAAAAGCTGTTTGGGGCATGCGGTGATTGGGCATGCGGACTACATGACCCAGCCAACGCAGCCTGGCCTGCCGGAGGTGCTTACCGATGGGACTTTGTCCAGATCTTTCGAGGATTTGTGAACTTCTCACACAATCCAACCTGGTTAAACCCAGGATGGATCGTAGGCAGGCCAGCCTAAATGTTTCTAACCGGCGAAGATGTTCCATGAGGGGGGTCCACATTTCGCAAGCATAAAGGGAGGGAATGACCATGGCCGAGAAGATCTGGAGCTTTGTGCGGAGCGACAGACCAGGTAGCTTCCACACAGCGTTACGCCACCGATGAAAAGATATTGCCGCTCCACTGATCCGGAGTGAGACCGCTGCTGTTAAACTGGAGCCGGTCATAAGCACACTGCCCAGGTATGTGAAACTCTCCACTCTCTCCACAACTGCCCCATCACCGATTGGGAGTTGTGGGGGTGGAGTGCTCAATGGTACAAAATACCCAGGCAGGTGCTTCGTTTTGGTGGGGCTGATGGTAAGGCCCCACCTCTTAGTGGCACACTCCAGTTTCACCAGCAGCGCCTCTAACTCTTCCTCTGAGTGAGCCGCAATTGCCAGGTCATCGGCATACATAACGTGGTTGAGCAATAGGGAGCCATCCCTTGACCGCACGCGGGCATCGATCAGCCTCCCATTATATCTGTACCAAATGGAGATTCCTCTGGTACAGCTACTGAAGGCTTCACGAACTACGTGGTCGAAATAGATGTTAAATCATGTGGGAGCCAGAGGACATCCCTGTCGCACCCCAAGGTGGACAGGGAATGGCTCTGACTCCCGGCCACATAGTTTTACCCGGGCCCGCTCACCATCATGAAGGTCCTTAATGATCGTGAGCAGAGGGTCAGGGACTCCAAAAGCACGAAGAACAACCCAGAGCCCAGGCCTACTGATGGTATCATAGTCCTTGACCAGGTCAATAAAGCAGAGATGTAGGTCTTGTTGGAATTCCCTACACCTCTGCTGTAGCAGACGGACAAAAAATATGGCATCTGTGCAGGACCGGATCTTCCTGAAACCGCATTGGGGCTCCTCAAGCCTCTTCTCAGCGTGCCTGGCAAGGCGATGTTGAATAATCCTTGCCAGGACCTTTCCCGGCACACTGAGGAGTGAGATGCCCCTGTAGTTGTTACAGTCTGTGCGGTCCCCTTTTTAAAGAGGGGGACCACCAGGGCATCCTTCCAATCCTGCGGAACCCGTCCAGTGGCCCAGACTGTTGTTATGATGTCATGTAGGGCAGTCTGTGCAGAAACGCCACCCTCCCTCAGCATTTCACTTGGGAGATCATCTCTGCCCGCTGCCTTTCCTGGTCTCAGACTCTGGATCGCCTTCAGTCCTTCCTCAACGGATGGCACCTCAGCCAGCCACTCACAGGGGGTGACTTCCTCCAATATTTGAGGCATGGCAGGCTCAGCAGGGTCATCCCCACTTTGTCCCATGATGTTTTCCAGGCTGAGAAATTCCACCTCCCCCAGGACCTCACGAAAATACTCAGCAAATCTGTAAACCTGTTCCTGGGGGTCGGAGATTGGATTACCGTTCTTTCCCCTAATGATGGTAATAGGGGTGGCACTGCAGGTTACTTTTTTGATGGAGTTAAATAGGGATTTGTGATCACGGGCCACTGAGGCAGACTCCACTTCCTCAGTAACCTGCGACAACCACCCATCCTTGCAGCGCCTCACGGCTCTCCGAACCTCCGAGCGAAGGCTGCGGTAAGCCTCCTCATTCTCTGATGTGGGATGCTGTAGCCGATGAGAGTGGGCCTGTCGCTTTTTCTCAACCATCCTGAACACCTCCTGTCAGCCAGGGTCTCTGGGGAGGTCTGGACCGCATACCCAAAACAGCCATTGCAGCTGCATGAGCCACAGTCCTAAACCTCACCCATTTACCCTCGACATCAGGAGGAGTGGGGGACGATGCCAGCCCCAGCCGCAAGCGATGATGAAATTCTCGCTTGCAACTTTCATCAGCTAGCCGAGACCAGGCCACCTCAGCTTGGAATGGGGTCCTGGGTGTACACCCACCACCGGAGTGGAAGAATGGCAGGCGCATCTTACAGATGACTAGTCAATGGTCAGAGGGCAGATCAGATCCACGGTAGGTCCTGGTGTCAAGGACATGGGGTCGCATCCGCTGGTCCATCACTATGTAGTCCAGCAGATGTTCTTGCTTGGACCCGGCATGCATCCGTGATGTTGTGTGGATGCGCCGATGCCGGAACAGCGTGTTGGTAATTACAAGCCCATGGGCTGCACAAAAATCTAGCAGCCTCCTACCGTTGTTATTGAGCTGATCTGGCCCATGCCCTCCAATCACTCCAGACCAGGTGCCAGCATCATGACCAACTCGGGCATTAAAGTCACCCAACAAGATGACTCTATCCCAAGGGGCCACTTTAGCCAGCACCTGTGACAGGAGGTCATAGAAGGCATCTGACTCATCGGCTTTGCCTGCATCCCTCCACGGATGTTCGTCTTCGGTGGGGGCAGAAGTAACCACCACCACCACTCCTCGCCTCCGGTTGATGGGAAGGCGAGCCCAAAGTAGCCTGGGGCTTACAGCTTCCCACACCTCACCGCCACGCTCCCACACCCCCTTCATTCTTTTGTTCAGAAGAAGAGCCACACCCTGTTGTTTGGCAGTCTCCTGCCCCGAGTAGAGGGACTGTCCACCCCTCATGGTGGCAGGAACCAGAGCCGGTCCACCGGACCTCCTGAATGCCACAGAGATCCAGGCGGTACCGGTCCAGCTCCCGACAGAGGAGTGGCAGCCTCTCCTCCGCGGTGAGCATTCGAACATTCCACGTGACCATCCGGAGTGGCTTTTCGTTCTTTCTGGAGGAGCCCCGAGGGTAAAGATTCAATCTCCTGGCTCCGCCAAATGCGGGTTTGGCCAGGAGACGTCATAGACGCCTGTCCCCCCGGGGCCTCCGGCACAAGCTTATTAGTTAGATATTTCAGTCGTGGTTTAGTGGTAATTTATTTAAGGTGGAGGGGGGTTACCTGCCTTTCGCACCCATCCAGAGCCACCATTTAGCCACTGTGATGGTCACAGACGCCATGAGGGGAGAGGCCAATCGGAATTGGCCCTCCCCCTCATAGCACTGTCCACGACAGCGTTGTCCGTCTGGCACCGCGAGGAGGTAGGGGGTTGTTTTTGTGTGTGTACACGTGTACACACACAGATACACACACGTGTACACACACACACACACACATGTACACACACAGGTACACCGCACACCACCCATGATTGTAGCCTTTATTAAGCAAATTAAGTTCAAGTGCAACTCAGGGTCAGGGTCGTGAAGTCCAGTTCCACTGCGTCATGCAGAGGTCATGCGTCAGTGTTCACGTGTCAGTGAGTGAGTGGGTGTGAGTTGGTGTGTGAGTTAGTGTGTGAGTGTGAGTGGGTGTGTGAGTGGGTGTGTGAGTTAGTGTGTGAGTGGGTGTGTGATTGAGTGGGTGTGTGAGTGAGTGGGTGTGTGAGTTGGCGTGTGAGTGAGTGGGTGTGTGAGTGTGTGTGAGTTAGTGTGTGTGTGGGTGTGCGAGTTGGTGTGTGAGTTGGTGTGTGAGTTGGTGTGTGAGTGAGTGGGTGTGTGAGTGGGTGTGTGAGTATGTGTGAGTTGGTGTGTGTGTGTGAGTGTGTACCTGTGTGTGTACCTGTGTGTGTACCTGTGTGTGTGTGAGTGTGTACCTGTGTGAGTGTGTACCTGTGTACCTGTGTGTGTACCTGTGTGAGTGTGTCTGTGTGTGTGTATCTCTGTGTCTGTGTGTGTGTGTCTCTGTGTGTGTGTCTGTGTGTGTGTCTGTGTGTGTGTGTGTGTCTCTGTGTGTGTCTCTGTGTGTGTGTCTGTGTGTGTCTGTGTGTGTGTGTCTCTATGAGTGTGTGTCTATGAGTGTGTGTGTCTCTATGAGTGTGTGTGTCTATGAGTGTGTGTGTGTCTCTATGAGTGTGTGTGTCTATGAGTGTGTGTGTCTCTATGAGTGTGTGTGTGTCTACGAGTGTGTGTGTGTCTACGAGTGTGTGTGTGTCTCTATGAGTGTGTGTGTCTATGAGTGTGTGTGTGTGTCTCTATGATAGTGAGTGTGTGTGTCTCTCTGAGCGTGTGTGTCTATGATAGTGTGTGTGTGTGTCTCTCTGAGCGTGTGTGTCTATGATAGTGTGTGTGTGTGTCTCTATGATAGTGTGTGTGTGTCTCTATGAGTGTGTGTGTGTGTCTCTATAATAGTGTGTGTGTGTGTGTCTATGATAGTGTGTGTGTGTCTATGATAGTGTGTGTGTGTGTGTCTCTGAGCGTGTGTGTCTATGATAGTGTGTGTGTGTGTGTCTATGAGTGTGTGTGTGTCTCTATGATAGTGTGTGTGTGTGTCTCTCTGAGCGTGTGTGTCTCTATGATAGTGTGTCTCTATGAGTGTGTCTCTATGAGTGTGTGTGTGTGTCTCTATGATAGTGAGTGTGTGTGTCTCTATGAGTGTGTGTCTCTATGATAGTGTGTGTCTATGAGTGTGAGTGTGTGTGTGTCTATGATAGTGTGTGTGTCTCTATGTGTGTGTCTCTATGATAGTGAGTGTGTGTCTCTCTGAGCGTGTGTGTCTATGATAGTGTGTGTGTGTCTCTCTGAGTGTTTGTCTCTATGATAGTGAGTGTGTGTGTCTCTCTGAGCGTGTGTGTCTATGATAGTGTGTGTGTGTCTCTATGATAGTGTGTGTGTGTCTCTATGAGTGTGTGTGTGTGTCTCTATGATAGTGTGTGTGTGTGTGTCTATGATAGTGTGTGTGTGTGTGTCTCTGAGCGTGTGTGTCTATGAGTGTGTGTGTCTATGAGTGTGTGTCTCTCTGAGTGTGTGTCTCTATGAGTGTGTGTGTCTATGAGTGTGTGTCTCTCTGAGTGTGTGTGTGTCTCTATGATAGTGTGTGTGTGTGTGTCTATGAGTGTGTGTGTGTCTCTATGATAGTGTGTCTCTCTGAGTGTTTGTCTCTCTGAGTGTGTGTGTGTCTCTATGATAGTGTCTCTATGATAGTGTGTGTGTGTGTGTGTCTCTGAGTGTGTGTGTGTCTCTATGATAGTGTCTCTCTATGATAGTGTGTCTCTATGAGTGTGTCCCTCTGAGCGTGCCTCTACGACAGGGGGGGGGCCATTCACTTGGTGGCTTTGAAGGCCGCAGCAAACTCGACGCCCTTCTTGACCGAGGCCTGCAGCTCGGCCAACGCCTCCTGCACCAGCCGCTCCTCGAATGCGGACAGCTTGCCCAGGCCTAAGTTGGACTCCAGGCCGTGTTTCTGGTGGTGGGGGGGAGAGGCAGGGTGGGGAGGAAGGGTGGGGAGAGGCAGGGTGGGGAGGCAGGGTGGGGAGGCAGGGTGGGCGGTGGGGGGATACGTGGGGAGGAGAGGGGAGATGTAGGGAGTGGTGAGTGGGCGTGCGAGTGAGTGAATGAGTGGTGAGTGAGTGGTGAGTGAGTGGTGAGTGGGCGTGCGAGTGAGTGAATGAGTGGTGAGTGGGCGTGCGAGTGAGTGGTGAGTGAGTGGTGAGTGGGCGTGCGAGTGAGTGGTGAGTGAGTGGTGAGTGGGCGTGCAAGTGAGTGGTGAGTGAGTGGTGAGTGGGCGTGCAAGCGAGTGGTGAGTGAGTGGTGAGTGGGCGTGCAAGTGAGTGGTGAGTGAGTGGTGAGTGGGCGTGCAAGTGAGTGGTGAGTGAGTGAGTGGTGAGTGAGTGGTGAGTGGGCGTGCAAGCGAGTGGTGAGTGGGCGTGCGAGTGAGTGAGCGAGTGGTGAGTGAGTGAGCGAGTGGTGAGTGAGCGGTGAGTGAGTGAGTGAGCGAGTGAGTGGTGAGTGAGTGGTGAGTGGGTAGTGAGTGAGCGAGTGAGTGGTGAGTGAGTGGTGAGTGGGTGGTGAGTGAGTGGTGAGTGAGCGAGTGAATGAGGAGTGAGTGGTGAGCGAGCGGGTGGTGAGAGAGTGAGCAAGTGGTGAGTGAGCGAGTGAATGAGGAGTGAGTGAGCGAGTGAGTGAGTGGTGAGTGAGTGAGCGAGTGAGTGGTGAGTGAGTGGTGAGTGGGTGGTCAGTGAGTGAGCGGTGAGTGAGTGAGCGAGTGAGTGGTGAGTGAGTGGTGAGTGGGTAGTGAGTGAGCGAGTGAGTGGTGAGTGAGTGGTGAGTGGGTGGTGAGTGAGTGGTGAGTGAGCGAGTGAATGAGGAGTGAGTGAGTGAGCGAGTGAGCGAGCGAGTGAGCGAGTGAGCGAGTGAGCGAGTGGTGAGTGAGTGGTGAGTGAGCGAGTGAGTGAGCGAGTGAGTGAGTGGTGAGCGAGCGGGTGAGTGGTGAGTGAGCGGTGAGTGAGTGAGTGGTGAGTGAGCGAGTGAGTGAGTGAGTGGTGAGTGAGTGAGCGAGTGAGCGAGCGAGCGAGTGGTGAGCGAGTGAGTGAGCGAGTGAGTGAGCGGTGAGTGAGTGAGCGAGTGGTGAGTGAGTGAGTGAGCGGTGAGTGAGCGAGTGAGCGGTGAGCGAGTGAGCGAGTGGTGAGTGAGCGAGTGAGCAAGTGGTGAGCGAGTGAGTGAGCGAGTGAGCGAGTGGTGAGTGAGCGAGTGAGTGAGTGAGCGGTGAGCGAGTGAGCGAGTGGTGAGTGAGCGAGTGAGTGAGTGAGTGCGTACCCCGAGGATGATCGGAGTGGAGAAGTATGGACTTGCGGTGAGGCTGGACTCCACGAAGCTGCACTCACTCACGCCGCTCTCGCCCCCGAGTGCCCGCAGCAGCGACGAGGTGAAGCGAGCGCCGGCAAACGCCATTGACAGGGTGGCAGAGCCTGGGGGGGGGGCACGGGGGGGCAAAGGGGGGGCAAAAGGGGGGCACAGAGACCCAGTGACTCTCACACACACAGACCCCCTCTCCCCCCGTGTCTCTCCCCCCCCCCCCGTGTCTCTCTCTCCCCCCGTGTCTCTCTCCACCCCCCGTGTCTCTCTCCCCCCGTGTCTCTCTCCACCCCCCGTGTCTCTCTCCTCCCCCCGTGTCTCTCCCCCCCCGTGTCTCTCTCCTCCCCCCGTGTCTCTCTCCCCCCCCGTGTCTCTCTCCCCCCCCGTGTCTCTCCCCCCCCCCCGTGTCTCTCTCCCCCCCCCGTGTCTCTCTCTCCCCCCGTGTCTCTCTCTCCCCCCCGTGTCTCTCTCTCCCCCCGTGTCTCTCTCTCCCCCCGTGTCTCTCTCTCCCCCCGTGTCTCTCTCTCCCCCCGTGTCTCTCTCTCCCCCCGTGTCTCTCTCCCTCCCCGTGTCTCTCTCCCCCCCGTGTCTCTCTCCCCCCCCGTGTCTCTCTCCCCCCCGTGTCTCTCTCTCCCCCGTGTCTCTCTCTCCCCCCGTGTCTCTCTCCCCCCCCGTGTCTCTCTCTCCCCCGTGTCTCTCTCTCCCCCCGTGTCTCTCTCTCCCCCCGTGTCTCTCTCTCCCCCCGTGTCTCTCTCCCCCCCCGTGTCTCTCTCTCCCCGTGTCTCTCTCTCCCCCCGTGTCTCTCTCTCCCCCCCGGGTCTCTCTCCCCCCCCGTGTCTCTCTCTCCCCCCGTGTCTCTCTCTCCCCCCCGTGTCTCTCTCTCCCCCCGTGTCTCTCTCTCCCCCCGTGTCTCTCTCTCCCCCCGTGTCTCTCTCTCCCCCCGTGTCTCTCTCTCCCCCCGTGTCTCTCTCTCCCCACGTGTCTCTCTCTCCCCCCGTGTCTCTCTCTCCCCCCGTGTCTCTCTCTCCCCCCGTGTCTCTCTCTCCCCCCGTGTCTCTCTCTCCCCCCGTGTCTCTCTCTCCCCCCGTGTCTCTCTCACCCCCCGTGTCTCTCTCTCACCCCACGTGTCTCTCTCTCACCCCACGTGTCTCTCTCTCACCCCCGTGTCTCTCTCTCCCCCCGTGTCTCTCTCTCCACCCGTGTCTCTCCCACCCCCCCGTGTCTCTCTCTCCCCACGTGTCTCTCTCTCCCCCCGTGTCTCTCTCCCCCCGTGTCTCTCCCCCCCCCGTGTCTCTCTCTCCCCCCGTGTCTCTCTCCCCCCGTGTCTCTCTCTCCCCCCGTGTCTCTCCCCCCCCCGTGTCTCTCTCTCCCCCCGTGTCTCTCTCTCCCCCCGTGTCTCTCTCTCCCCCCGTGTCTCTCTCTCCCCCGTGTCTCTCTCTCCCCCCGTGTCTCTCTCTCCCCCCGTGTCTCTCTCTCCCCCCGTGTCTCTCTCTCCCCCCGTGTCTCTCTCTCCCCCCGTGTCTCTCTCTCTCCCCCCGTGTCTCTCTCTCCCCCCGTGTCTCTCTCTCCCCCCGTGTCTCTCTCCCCCCCCGTGTCTCTCTCCCCCCCCGTGTCTCTCTCTCCCCCCGTGTCTCTCTCTCCCCCCGTGTCTCTCTCCCCCTCCGTGTCTCTCTCTCCCCCCGTGTCTCTCTCTCCCCCCGTGTCTCTCTCTCCCCCCGTGTCTCCCCGTGCCCCCGTGTCTCTCCCCCCCCCGTGTCTCTCTCTCCCCCCCGTGTCTCTCTCCCCGTGTCTCTCTCTCCCCCCGTGTCTCTCTCTCCCCCCGTGTCTCTCTCTCCCCCCGTGTCTCTCTCTCCCCCCGTGTCTCTCTCTCCCCCCGTGTCTCTCTCTCCCCCCGTGTCTCTCTCTCCCCCCGTGTCTCTCTCTCCCCCCGTGTCTCTCTCTCCCCCCGTGTCTCTCTCTCCCCCCGTGTCTCTCCCCCCGTGTCTCTCCCCCCCCGTGTCTCTCTCTCCCCGTGTCTCTCTCTCCCCCCGTGTCTCTCTCTCCCCCCGTGTCTCTCTCTCTCCCCCCGTGTCTCTCTCTCCCCCCGTGTCTCTCCCCCCCCCCGTGTCTCTCCCCCCGTGTCTCTCTCTCCCCGTGTCTCTCTCTCCCCCCGTGTCTCTCTCCCCCCCCCCCCGTGTCTCTCTCTCCACGTGTCTCTCTCTCCCCCCGTGTCTCTCTCTCCCCGTGTCTCTCTCTCCCCCCGTGTCTCTCCCCCCGTGTCTCTCTCTCCCCGTGTCTCTCTCTCCCCCCGTGTCTCTCTCTCCCCCCGTGTCTCTCTCTCTCCCCCCGTGTCTCTCTCTCCCCCCGTGTCTCTCCCCCCCCCGTGTCTCTCTCACCCCCCGTGTCTCTCACACCCCCCGTGTCTCTCTCTCCCCCCCGTGTCTCTCTCACCCCCCGTGTCTCTCTCTCCCCCCGTGTCTCTCTCTCCCCCGTGTCTCTCCCCCCCCGTGTCTCCCTCCCCCCCGTGTCTCTCTCCCCCCCCCCCCCGTGTCTCTCTCTCCACGTGTCTCTCTCTCCCCCCGTGTCTCTCTCTCCCCCCGTGTCTCTCTCTCCCCCCGTGTCTCTCTCTCCCCCCGTGTCTCTCTCTCCCCCCGTGTCTCTCTCTCCCCGTGTCTCGCTCTCCCCCCGTGTCTCTCTCTCCCCCCGGGTCTCTCTCTCCCCCCGTGTCTCTCTCCCCCCCCGTGTCTCTCTCCCCCCGTGTCTCTCTCCCCCCGTGTCTCTCCCCCCCCGTGTCTCTCTCTCCCCCCGTGTCTCTCTCCCCCGCCCGTGTCTCTCTCCCCCCCGTGTCTCTCTCCCCCCCCGTGTCTCTCTCCCCCCCCCGTGTCTCTCTCCCCCCCGTGTCTCTCTCTCCCCCCGTGTCTCTCTCTCTCCCCCCGTGTCTCTCTCCCCCCGTGTCTCTCTCTCCCCCCGTGTCTCTCTCTCTCCCCGTGTCTCTCTCTCCCCGTGTCTCTCTCTCCCCCCGTGTCTCTCTCTCTCCCCGTGTCTCTCTCCCCCCGTGTCTCTCTCTCCCCCCGTGTCTCTCTCTCCCCCCGTGTCTCTCTCTCCCCGTGTCTCTCTCTCCCCCCGTGTCTCTCTCTCCCCCCGTGTCTCTCTCCCCCCCGTGTCTCTCTCTCCCCCCGTGTCTCTCTCTCCCCCCGTGTCTCTCTCTCCCCCCGTGTCTCTCTCTCCCCCCGTGTCTCTCTCTCCCCGTGTCTCTCTCTCTCCCCGTGTCTCTCTCTCCCCCCGTGTCTCTCTCCCCCCCCGTGTCTCTCTCCCCCCGTGTCTCTCTCCCCCCGTGTCTCTCCCCCCCCGTGTCTCTCTCTCCCCCCGTGTCTCTCTCTCCCCCCGTGTCTCTCTCCCCCCCCGTGTCTCTCTCTCCCCCCGTGTCTCTCTCTCCCCGCGTGTCTCTCTCTCCCCCCGTGTCTCTCTCTCCCCCGTGTCTCTCTCTCCCCCCGTGTCTCTCTCTCCCCCCGTGTCTCTCTCTCCCCCCGTGTCTCTCTCTCCCCCCGTGTCTCTCTCTCCCCCCGTGTCTCTCTCTCCCCCCGTGTCTCTCTCCCCCCGTGTCTCTCTCTCCCCCGTGTCTCTCTCTCCCCCCGTGTCTCTCTCTCCCCCCGTGTCTCTCTCCCCCCCCGTGTCTCTCTCTCCCCCCGTGTCTCTCTCCCCCCCCGTGTCTCTCTCTCCCCCGTGTCTCTCTCTCCCCCCGTGTCTCTCTCTACCCCCGTGTCTCTCTCTCCCCCCGTGTCTCTCTCTACCCCGTGTCTCTCTCTCCCCCCGTGTCTCTCTCTCCCCCCGTGTCTCTCTCTCCCCCCGTGTCTCTCTCTCCCCCCGTGTCTCTCTCTACCCCCGTGTCTCTCTCTCCCCCCGTGTCTCCCCGTGCCCCCGTGTCTCTCTCTCCCCCCGTGTCTCTCTCTCCCCCCGTGTCTCTCTCTCCCCCCGTGTCTCTCTCTCCCCCCGTGTCTCTCTCTCCCCCCGTGTCTCTCTCTCCCCGCGTGTCTCTCTCTCCCCCCGTGTCTCTCTCTCCCCCGTGTCTCTCTCTCCCCCCGTGTCTCTCTCTCCCCCCGTGTCTCTCTCTCCCCCCGTGTCTCTCTCGCCCCCCGTGTCTCTCTCTCCCCCCGTGTCTCTCTCTCCCCCCGTGTCTCTCTCTCCCCCGTGTCTCTCTCTCCCCCCGTGTCTCTCTCTCCCCCAGTGTCTCTCCCCCCGTGTCTCTCTCTCCCCCCGTGTCTCTCTCTACTCCCCCCGTGTCTCTCTCTCCCCCCGTGTCTCCCCGTGCCCCCGTGTCTCTCTCTCCCCCCGTGTCTCTCTCTCCCCCCGTGTCTCTCTCTCCCCCCGGGTCTCTCTCTCCCCCCGTGTCTCTCTCTCCCCCCGTGTCTCTCTCTCCCCCCGTGTCTCTCTCCCCCCCCGTGTCTCTCTCTCCCTCCCGTGTCTCTCTCTCCCCCCGTGTCTCTCTCCCCCCCGTGTCTCTCTCCCCGTGTCTCTCCCCCCCCGTGTCTCTCTCTCCCCCCGTGTCTCTCTCTCCCCCCGTGTCTCTCTCTCCCCCCGTGTCTCTCTCCCCCCCCGTGTCTCTCTCTCCCCCCGTGTCTCTCTCTCCCCCCGTGTCTCTCTCTCCCCCCGTGTCTCTCTCTCCCCCGTGTCTCTCTCTCCCCCCGTGTCTCTCTCTCCCCCCGTGTCTCTCTCTCCCCGCGTGTCTCTCTCTCCCCCCGTGTCTCTCTCTCCCCCCGTGTCTCTCTCTCCCCCCGTGTCTCTCTCTCCCCCGTGTCTCTCTCTCCCCCCGTGTCTCTCTCTCCCCCCGTGTCTCTCTCTCCCCCCGTGTCTCTCTCTCCCCCCGTGTCTCTCTCTCCCCCCGTGTCTCTCTCTCCCCCCGTGTCTCTCTCTCCCCCCGTGTCTCTCTCTCCCCCCGTGTCTCTCTCTCCCCCCGTGTCTCTCTCTCCCCCCGTGTCTCTCTCTCCCCCCGTGTCTCTCTCTCCCCCCGTGTCTCTCTCTCCCCCCGTGTCTCTCTCTCCCCCCGTGTCTCTCTCTCCCCCCGTGTCTCTCTCTCCCCCCGTGTCTCTCTCTCCCCCCGTGTCTCTCTCTCCCCCCGTGTCTCTCTCTCCCCCCGTGTCTCTCTCTCCCCCCGTGTCTCTCTCTCCCCCCGTGTCTCTCTCTCCCCCCGTGTCTCTCTCTCCCCCCGTGTCTCTCTCTCCCCCCGTGTCTCTCTCTCCCCCCGTGTCTCTCTCTCCCCCCGTGTCTCTCCCCCCGTGTCTCCCCGTGCCCCCGTGTCTCTCTCTCCCCCCGTGTCTCTCTCTCCCCCCGTGTCTCTCTCTCCCCTCGTGTCTCTCTCTCCCCCCGTGTCTCTCTCCCCCCCCGTGTCTCCCCCTGCCTGCTTACCGGCCCCAGCCTTGGCTTTAACCACCTCAGTGCCGGCCTCCTGAATACGTAGAGTCAGAGCCTCCAACTCAGCCTGAGGGAACTCCACGTGTGGAGAGCACTACACAGACACACACACACAGACACCATCATACACAGACACACACAGACACACACACACAGACACCATCATACACACACAGACACACACACCATCATACACACACACCATCATACACACACACAGAGACACCATCATACACACATACTCACAGACACACACACACACACACCATCATACACACACAGACACACACACACAGACACCATCATACACACACAGACACACACACACAGACACCATCATACACACATACTCACACACACACATACACAGACACACACACAGAGACCATCATACACACACTCACAGACACACACAGACACACATATACTCGCAGACACACACAGACACCATCATACACACATATACTCACAGACACACACAGACACCATCATACACACATATACTCACAGACACACACAGAGACACCATCATACACACATACTCACAGACACACACAGAGACACCATCATACACACATACTCACAGACACACACAGAGACACCATCATACACACATACTCACAGACACACACAGAGACACCATCATACACACATACTCACAGACACACACAGAGACACCATCATACACACATACTCACAGACACACACAGACACCTCATACACACATACTCACAGACACACAGACACACACAGACACCATCATACACACACACAGACACACACAGACACACACACCATCATACACACACTCACAGACACACACACACACCATCATACACACATACTCAGACACACACAGACACACACACCATCATAGACACACACACCATCATACACACACTCACAGACACACACACACACCATCATACACACATACTCAGACACACACAGACACACACACCATCATACACACACTCACAGACACACACACACACCATCATACACACATACTCAGACACACACAGACACACACACCATCATACACACATACTCAGACACACACAGACACACACACAGGGACCATCATACACACATACTCACAGACACACACAGACTCACAGACACACAGACACACACAGACACACACAGAGACCATCATACACACATACACACAGACACACACAGACACACACAGACACACACACACAGACACACACCATCATACACACATACTCACAGACACACACAGACACCATCATACACACATACTCACAGACACACACACAGACACCATCATACACACATACTCACAGACACACACACAGACACCATCATACACACATACTCACAGACACACAAAGACACACACACAGACACACAGAGACCATCATACACACACACACAGACACACACCATCATACACACACACACAGACACACACCATCATACACACACACACAGACACACAGAGACCATCATACACACACACACAGACACACAGAGACCATCATACACACACACACAGACACACAGAGACCATCATACACACACACACAGACACACAGAGACCATCATACACACACACACAGACACACAGAGACCATCATACACACACACACAGACACACAGAGACCATCATACACACACACACAGACACACAGAGACCATCATACACACACACAGACACACAGAGACCATCATACACACATACTCACAGACACACACACAGACACACATATACTCACAGACACACACAGACACACACACAGACACACACACACACCATCATACGCACACAGACACACATATACACACAGACACACACAGACATACTCACAGACACACACAGACACACACAGACACACACACAGACACACACACAGACACCATCATACACATATACACAGACACCATCATACACATACAGACACACACACACACAGAGACCATCATACACATACAGACACACACACACAGAGACCATCATACACACATACTCACAGACACACACAGACACACATATACTCACAGACACACACAGACACGCACACAGACGCACACAGACACACACAGACACACACACACACAGAGACCATCATACACACATACTCACAGACACACACACAGACACCATCATACACACATACACAGACGCCACAATACACATACAGACACACACACAGACACCATCATACACACATACTCACAGACACAGAGACACACACACAGACACACACACAGACACACACACAGACACACACAGAGACCATCATACACTCATACTCACAGACACACACACAGACACCATCATACACACACACACAGACACCATCATACACACATACATACAGACACACACAGACACCATCATACACACACACAGACACACACCATCATACACACATACTCACAGACATGAAGAGACACACAGA